TTAGTGGAAGGAGGAGTAGCCCATTAGTCTTATAAGGTGGGTCTATTTTCCATATATGAACGATGTGGGACAACTCACAAGTGATATTTTAACACGCCCCCTCACTTGTGAGTCCTTCGAAAGCCCAAGCCTTACTACAAACAGGCTCCCATAAACGGGTACGTGGGGGATAAACAATGGGTACGTCATCACACGGTCCAAGATAGAACCGGCTCTGATACCAGGACAGAAACTGGGGGAAAATCGATCCAAGATAGAACCGGCTCTGATACCAGGACAGAAACTGGGGGAAAATGGGTGTTGGCCCACTACCATGAAGGACACCATGAAAGAAGGGAAAAGCCCATATGAAGCCCAAATGAGGTTCCATTCCAAAATCAATTGGTGGAAAGAGGAGTAGCCCATTAGTCTTATAAGGTGGGTCTATTTCTCATATATGAACGATGTGGGACAACTCACAAGTGATATTCTAACAGACGACAATACATGAGAGGGCAATATACGGATTGCGAGGCCTTTGGTGAATATAGATTCTTTTTGATTTGTTCGTCGTATTAAGAGGAGGATATATAAGGACGACCTTTTTACTTTGGTTTGGGATATTATTTTTCATTGTGTTAAGTGTACTGGTTTGTGTTTTTATACTGAGTGAATATGTTGCTGCTTAATTGTTGTTTTCAATAATTTTTTTTTTCTTTGAATGTTAAGAATTCGTTTGGTTGAAAGTATTGTGCTTGATTAATTCTATGTTTATTTTCCATCTCTATCCAATGTATTCAATTTGTTAAGTAGTTCAATTTTATTTTTAGTTGCATGATATTGTTTCATTTGGCATAATAAAATATTCATACATATGTCTTTACCTTATCATCATCTCCAATATATATGAAATCACCCAGATAACTAGGTGCAAAACCATATATTACTTCATGGGAATTATAAATCACAATTTTTGCCAAATGCAACTTCTACATATTTATATTAATCAAGACTATAGTTTGTTAAAATTTATACAAAATTGAAAGGAAAAGAAGAGAAAGAGTGGTGTATACTTGCGCATATATAAGAAAGCAAGACATGAAGTGATTCCTTCTGCAAATGTATAAATAAAATAATTAATACAAATATAAGTAATTTTCTCTTTTAACATTTAAAAAAAAAAGAAAAAAAAAAAGAATAAATTACCTTTCACCAGATAGTTCTCATCTAATAATCCGACTTTTATCCTATAATAATACGGATTTTTTTCTTAGTATGATAGCTTTATTCATCTCTCTGAAACTATTTTTCTGTTTCTACCTTCTTTTGAGGTCTTGATTCTGAAAATTGTATTTATTCTGTTTTTTATCTAATCCTTTTTTTTTGGCAGACATTGGTAGTTTTTTTCAAGTCTTTTTTTTTTTAAAAAAAAATAACAAGTCTTTTGTCTTATACAAGAACGTGTCTGTTTGGTTTATTTTTTTAAGTTATTCATATTTCACGTATTCTTATAAATGTGTTTTGTTTTTTATAAATATGGGGTGAGGTTAGTTTTTTTGTAATCTACTTGTAAATACTTGGTAGTTACATAATTTTCCCACATATTTTGTGATTAGAACACAGTAATTGTTGATAACAAACAACGATAAATGAGGCAAAAAAGATGCAAGGGAGAATAATTCGCGACTGAAGATCTCTTTCCTAACTAGGAATCTCTTAACCATCAAGCAACCCTAAGTATAAAAAGGTAGAGGGTTAAGTCCTTTTATTAGTAACCCGTTTAAATCAGGGCTTTTTAGACCCAGACCGTTTAGCCCGAAGTCCGTTAGGGCTAGCTCGGAACCCGCTAGGGCTGGCCCGTTTAACTAGGGTTGGGCGGTGTAAATGTTTGCATCAAGTAAGTAATATGTTCTTAAATTCCTTGTATATTACAATTTTGATATTCCACTTCACATGTAAGTACGAGTTGTAATGAATTATTATGATTTTGAAATATAATTATTAACAATATTGTTATTGTATTTCATACCAAAATATTTAAGCTAATCAGAACGACTAATAAGAAATACATGAAACATAGTGATAGACGGTAAATACTAAATAGCCGTTGAAAATAATTTTTAACTAGCCGTTGTTATTTTTTTTATATTTTTTATTCTTTTTATTTTTTATTTTTTTTTATATATTATTATTATTATTATTATTATTATTATTATTATTATTATAGCCATAGCCCGCATAACCTGTTTAGCCCGAAGCCCGCTAGGGTTAGGGTTAGGTCCTTTTTTTGGTAGCCCGTTTAAATTCGGGCTTTTTAGGCCCGGACCGTTTAACCCGAAGCTCGCTAGGGCTAGCCCGTTTAACATCTTTATAAAAGGGTATCCAGGTTTTTATTTTACACGCGCAAAATATACTATTGCCATATTACCATTGTACATTGACCGACTTGAGTGTGGGAGCCTTTTCCGCCGAAACTCCTCCCGGTGTTTTGTATGTAACCGGAGACGTAAAAGTAGTTTGAATCGATGGATTACGGTCCAAACATGATCAGAGGGCAAATTTTGCAAATATAAAAGTGGGTTTATAAAAAAAATTGAAGCATTCTTAAAAGAACATACTATTTAAACATACTATTTAATCGTCTGTTCAATGAATGTATGAATTTATTAAAATAAAATAGCATGAGATGATATTTTAATATATTTGTGTAATGGTAAAAGATAAATATAAAACAGGTGTATAAACTCTTCAAAATAATCTATATATATATATATAATAAGAAATAACTTAAATCAAAATTAGAAAGTCTTTCCCGCCAATATATATATATATATATATATAATAAGAATTAACTTAAATCAAAATTAGAAAGTCTTTCCCGCCAAAATGTATTAATTACATACTATAAAAAAGAAAATTAAAAATGTTTTAATTAAAAACAATTGAACTGCATTAATTACATTCTATATATCTTTCCCTTGAAAAGTGGATTTTGTTATGATATGGATAGTTGTTATTTTAACAAATCCGTGAGCAGATTTTTTCTATGCATTTCAAAATGGAAATCTCTTTCTATTTTTTAGTTTTGCTTTTGGAGAATTCTAATGCAAGATTTTTATTTTTAAGTTTTGCTTTTGCAGAATTCTAATGCAAGACCGCTATTTTTTGGGTAAAAATATGACTTACACGGTTTGCTGAAAATCTTAATTTAATATTTTTCCTACAACCACAATATTAAAGATCTTGAATTAATATTTTTTTCACTTCAGCCTTTTTAAGATATTAACCCCTGAAAAGCTAATCTTATTATGGTATGGGTTGGTGTTATTTAGTCAAATCTGTTAGAAGATTTTTTCTTTACCTTTCGAAATGGAAATCGTTTATAGATCTTGACTAATATCCATTTGAGTCGACAAAAATAAATAATTTAACCCATCAATACATATTATCACAATAGCTACAAATTAGACAAAATAAATCACTTATAGAGCTAGCGTAACAAAACCATTCAACATACTATTACATTTCCATTTGATGTATAAAATTAAAATGGCAATGGTATAATAAACAAGGCAATGACAAAACCCACACACACAAGAAAAGCCAACCAGCATTTATTGCATTCTATTTTTTGCAGTTTTTGAATTTTTTTTAAAATTATTACCAAAAAATTGATCAGCTATATATGCACCCTAATCTCATGGATTTTTTGGATTTAGGTAAATTTCGGTTGATTCTTACAATTTTGCAAAAGTCAAAATTCTTTCTCATTTTTTATTGGAAAAAAAATTGATTACCATAAAATCGAGAATTTCGAATTAGGCAAAATGTTATCACATATATAATTTCCTAATTGCAACATATCAATTTTTTATTAAAAAAATTGGATTACATAGAAAGCGGGTTAATTTAGGTAAAATTCGGTATGACAATTTATAAATGTCAAAATTCTCTTATTTTTTATTAAAAAAATTATTTACAATAAAATCGAGAATTTTGAATTAGACAAAATACTATGACATGTATCTTTACCTAATTGCAATAGATCCTTTTCATTAAAAAAATGGGATTGCATATAAATCAGGCCCAATTTCAAATTGAAAATTAAAATTTAAAAATCCAATATCATTTGGCTACTACTTTCTTTAGTTCGGATTTTTTTTAACATAAAACAGAGTAAGATAATATTAATTTGAAATTCAAAATGAAATCGGATTAGAACATCCCAAAAATTTAGGTTTTGTTTAATTCTCTAGAATACAAATTTGAAATTGATTGCATACATTTACACAATTTTTCCACTCTTTAAATTAAGTAATTTACAATTATAAAATAATAAGGTTATAGATTAGAAATACGCTCCGTTATATTTGGTTATGCAATCTGCACAAAAACAGTATAAATCATATCATATATGTCCTGCTAAATAATTTAATTGATTTATTTAAGCCTATCTAGAATCCGAGTATAATTTGTGGCGATATACGATGTAGCAAAAGACCAAACAAATAACGTTGTGTACAAGGATGTGTTTAATAATATATACGTTACATTTTATTTTATTCCAATACATGCGTTTTACGTTCTTTCAATTATTCAATTTTAAATGCTTAACTTAATAAAACTAACTCGTGCGTCGCACGAGTACCACACTAGTATTCAATGTAATAAGTATATGACTATTTAAAGGAGAAAATAACGGGAGTTGTTTGTGGAATTATGTCAACTACCTAGAGATTTTTTTTAATATTCTATTTTCTTTTTTTGGTACATAATATTCTATTTTCTTAATCATCTTCCTGCACTAGTAGAGAAAATGAGGCCATTATAATAGATAAAAACAATATATACTTTTTGAGTCGTCAATATGAGATTGAGATTCTATATATACCATAAGATTTCAAATTCACAAATCCAGAAAAAGCAATAATGGCATAGGATTCTATATATTCTATTTCATGTTGCTTTATATTTATGTTTGGTTGAATCATCATTGCCTCCATCCATTTTCATAAGCAAAAATGAAGGAAGTTTCACTAGTACTCTACCTTCTCACAACGAGTATTCTCATCGTCACATCCCAAATAACACTACCGTTCAAGAAGTCGCGGGTGATTGTGACGAACTACTTTACCTTCGCCAACCAGACAACCTCAATCGAGTGTTACTCCTCAGACGATTACCTCGGAGTCCACAAACTTAGACTTCACGCATCCTACGAATGGAGTTTCAAGACATCGTTTTTCAACACCAAATTCTATTGTTACTTTCGCACGCCGTGCAGTGAGGGGAAATACGGCGTTTTCACGAAGAGGCTCAACGATTTATACTGCAATTATGTATGTAATTGGTCGATACACTCAAATGGGGTGTGCGTTCATAATCGATTCACGGGTGAGGACTACTGCCAGCCATGGAAGATTGTGAAATATTGTACGACTTAGAAAATATTTACAGTTATAATACAAATAAATGAATAACATGTCAAATTGTTGGTTTTATAGCTACATATTCCATAGCATGGAATCATGGTATGAATTCTACGTACTAACCCTTTCATTTTTACATCTATGTGTCTTTATTACTTTGACTTGTGTTTGAGAATGTTCATATAATCCAGTCCCCCAAAAATGTGTGGCATTAATGAGGGCTATAGGTATGGTAAAAGCCCATAAAGACACACATATAGTGAATGGGACTACCAATAAACTACCAAATTCTTATGTATACTAAAGGACGTACATTTCTAGTTTAAAAATTTTCTCAAAACAGAGCCATTATTATCCATAAAATGATTGATGAATCTGTCTCAATTTTGACTATATCACGTATAATTGCCCAAACTTGGAAAAATGAAAGTGGAAAATTTGATAATTATAATACGTTTTGAAAGAGGGGGTCACCTTTGTTCTTCACTGAATCTCCTATCTGTGCTGGCATAAACTAAAATAACCCAGCCTGGATTCTCCCCATTAAGATTTTTAAAATTTACCTCAAAACATAATTGGTGACTGATGATGGGAAGTCACGGGTGATTGTGACGAACTACATCCTTAACAATCAATTTTATTTCTCTTGATTCAGTTGTCTTTTAGTCCTCCAAAGTACTAATAGCTAGACAAATAAAGGAATTCTCGAACACTAATGAGTTAGGTGCTGGATGTTTTGAGCCTACTTCCCATTGGGTATCTGGCGTAGAACTTTGCCTGAAAGCAAGTTCAAGGATCATCTCCTTGACTGACTCATATGGTTGTAGGGTGTGCAAATCCAATCCCACATCAAAAAATTAAAGGTTGCAAGTCCAATATATAAGCTTGGTAGGCTACTCCTTCTATTGTCAATTGGTTTTAGAGCGGAACCCCATTTGGGCTTGTATGTTGGGCTTGATGAAGAACTGGGTTTTGAGTTGTTTGGTCCTAACAATTGGTAGCCCAGTTGCGATGTGGATGACATGGCATGTTCCCCGTGGAGCCAGAAGGGCTGGTGGATCCGTGTGCCTTGTGTCGAAAGTCTCCTAGCGGAAAAGTGTGGTCAGACGAAATTGGTAGCCCAGTTGCGATGTGGATGACATAGCATGTTCCCCGTGGAGCCGGAAGGGCTGGTGGATCCGTGTGCCTTGTGTCGAAAGTCTTCCTAGCGAAAAGGTGTGGTCAGGCGGCGGGTTCCGTAGGTGATAACGGCGGTACAAGATGGTCGGATCGTATGAATTTCGTTCAATGGGAGGCCCAATGTGGTCTTGTGTTTGAGGAGAAGTTTGTAGGGTGTGCAAACCCAATCCCACATCGAAAAATTAAAGGTTGCAAGTCCAATATATAAGCTTGGTGGACTAATCCTTCTATTGTCAATTGGTTTTAGAACGGAACCCCATTTGGGCTTGTATGTTGTGCTTGATGGAGAACTGGGTTTGAGTTGTTGGTCCTAACATATGGTTTTTGCTACTAGGTGATAGATTGAAGTTATTTTTCCCAAATGATTTGAAGATTTTGAGATGGAGTTTGAGAGTCAGCTAGAATGGCTGGCTAGATTACTCGACATGTGAGATCTAAAACCAAAGCTACCTTCATTTGTTTTCAACCACTCTCCATACTGACCCTCTTGAAGATTCTCTTTTAGGGACATCTTCCAATATTTTTTTCAAAAATCTATCCAAATGTCCATTATTTCCACAGTAATAATAGAGATTAACAAGTTTTCATACTGGAAACTCACCACAATTTGTCGATTTTGAAGTTTCATACTTCCATTGTAGTAATAGAGATTAACAAGTTTTTCATAATCTCCATTATGTCCATTATGCCTGCAGTGGAAACAAGGTCGTCTCCCGAAATTTGGAGGCCCCAGACAAATTTATCCTTTTTGAATTTCTCGATTTGAACTTTCATAGAAACAAGATTATTAAATAATAAATAATAAAAAAAAAATTCTTGTTTTTTCTAGACCTTGGAATTGATAGATCACTATGGGTTAAAAAAAAATCTTTAATAAATTACATTCAAGCAGTCACTAGGACAACAAGAAAAAGAAAATAAAAACCATATCACTGCAAATAATATTTATTCTAACACAATTGTTTTGACCGAACATCATACAAAAACAAATGAAATATAGGGCCTCAAATTCCAACACAAAATACATATTTTGCCATTGATCCATTCATTAATTAGCTCATTCATTTGTGTAATGGAACAAGTCTATATTTAGCCATTAATCCCTTCATTTGTGTAAATAATCCAAACCCAAACAAATACATAACGACTCTTTTACAAACTAACCATATCTTTTGTAATTATTTACACAAAATACTATATGCTAATCTTATTAGCAACCTTGCGCATTATCCAACAAATAATTACCAATATACTCGATCAGTTCATCACCAAAAACGCATCCCCCTATTCAATCCCGTAGGCCGTAACTGNTATTTTCCTTTATATTCCATCCATTTTTCTTTCTTCTTCTCTCCTCCGTAATTCTTCCTTCTCTCATCTTTCTCTTCTTCTTATTCCATTCCATTTAAATTTAATATTTTGTCTATGTAAATTTATAAATAATTTTTTAAAGTAAATTTATATCTAATTTATTTGTCAGATTATTATAGGTTTATAATTCAATACAATAATATATATAGTTTATTTTCAGTTTATTATAATTTTATAAATAAATACTTTTATACAAACAAAAATCAACCACCCATTTACAAAAAGTACTCGACAACTAAAACATAAAATACGACACAACTACAAATAAAAACGAAACAAAAACCATTAATATACATAACCATAAGAAATATCCAAAATAATATAAACAATAATCAGCAAAACAAATGCACCTTTATCGTTTCATATTAATTTCCTCATCAACAAAAAATATGTTAATATACCAAACATAAACTATGAATAAACATCAAATAAAATATTGAAACATGTCCTTATATATTCTTTTGCAAAATAACTAAAACTATCCTATTTATTTGCAAAATTACTAGAATGTTAGTTTAATCGTAATTGATGTTTAAGTACAAAAGACTGATGCTAATGTTGAAGCACATTTGACATAGATGCTAAAATGTAACACTTTGTCATCTCATCTGCCTTTTTTCACTTAGCATACTTCTCCTTCTCTTAATTCGTTTACTCCTCACCGGGCACATCCTGACAAGCCTCGGAGAGTACAAATTTGTACCCCTCTGCAGTTAACATTATATCAAGTTTCTTTTCCAATCAATGTAGTTTAGACCAGTAAGGATTTGGTTCTAGAATTACGGACATTAGATTGAAAGACATTTTACTGAAATCATGCAAAGATAAAGTTTTACTTAATTAAGTCTTCGAATTTAATTCTCAAATATTGATCCCTTAAAAAATAATATTTTATTAAATTTACCAAACCCTCAAAACACCGAATCCATGCAATCCATTGTGATGTGAACGTCTGTTGTTCATAACTTTGTAAGATGACGGTCTTATCCACTAATTATCTGTGCCGACATATCAACACATAATTAATAGTCGGTCCATTTTTGGCCCACACAGATAACAATGGTGATTCCTGTGGGAGACCACTATTAGGTGTGCTCTAAGTGTGATCCATACTTGGTAATAAGTCCACTACCAAAATTATAAGTCCGCTTGTGGATGGCCCGCACACTTTTGAAATAGTTTTCTATTATCATCTTGAAGGAGATTTGTCATTATGAACTGTGAATAAAAATTGTCCTGTGCGAGGAAGCCTATAATGCCAACGCGCAACTTTAATCACTTCTCTGACAAACCAGTATTGGATGCTGAAAAATTAAAATATATTCAATTCTATTCAATCACTTAGTATTTTAATTAAGAGATTTTTCTAGACATGCACCTATTAATTTCTTGCACATAAAGCAATTAAATTAATTAAGCATATGCATAATTAAAGGCAATAATAAACTAGAAAATAATATCCAACTATCATGGTTAATAATTCCTTTCCCATCCATCTTGGAAATAAGCAATTCTTGTCTTTGTAGAAGTGCAAGTTTTCTCTCAGAATTAGAATTCCTTTTTCTCCATGACTCTCACTTTTCTTCTTGAACAAAAAACTCGAGCCAGACTGTCGTGTTCGTCGGAGAAGTCGTCGTTGAGAAAAAATTCGCACCATCGGGTTGTCTCCATGTGGCACCGCAATCGCCGAGAAGATACCGTCACGCCACGCGATGCTCAGCCGAGTGACACTGGCACGCGCGATGCTGTGCCTGTTGCCCAGCCAGCCTGCGTTACGCGTGGTGTCTCACCCACGATCACGTGAATAGTGAACGCACGGAATTAGCCGATTGCTGCTACTCCCGGAGAGCTGCAGCCTCACAGTCCACAGGCATTGACAATGGGTGCGTGCGTGAGCTCTTGTTGCCAAGTCGCTCACTTTCCGCGCCCGGAAACTTTGCGTCATCTCTCCTTGTTGATCCTCCATCGCCCACTCAAGTCGCCTAGGTACTCGTGCATGCGTACTGCACAATTTTGGTAGTGCCCTTGTATGGCAGCAAGCTGCCAGCAGGCGCGCTCGTGTGTGCACGACATCGAGTAGCCGGCGACCGCGAGATTGTGGTCGGCTCGCCTCATTTCGTCGGGAAATGCCGTCATCGTTTCGATCATTAGGGTTCGTCCGCGTCCACCGCGTCAAATTGAATAATATAAAACAATTACATAATTCAACTTATGACCCATGCAGGGTTTGCACATGAATGATCTAGTAAAACAATTAAATTGTGCAGTGTCCCACCGCACGAATAATTTAATACAAGCATTCCCCAACCCAAAAATCGTCGACATGTCCGAGGCTTATAAAACATAGATGAATTAAATATATACATGTGGGCCATAATAGTCGGATTCAAGAACACTTGCAAACAACTTATTTGTAATTTTAATCTGCTATGCTTTACGCCCCAACACAAATAATTGACGTATGCACATAAGTCAAAATTCGAATTGTGCACAAAGACAAATTAACCCTGGGCTCTGGGCTCTGATATCAGTTGTTGGGTTCTATTAGGAATGTCGTCGATATGCACATCCAAATCTAATAAATTGAATCCTAACGTAGCAGAATCTATAGTTAGGATCAGGGCTTACGGTTTAAAACTTTTGCCGACTATGATATGTTTCTGATTTCGCTAATGGTGATCATCTAAAATTCCTTGATTCGTGTGCATCGGGGTTGCACGATCACCTCGACGCTGGTCGTGTGCGTCACGCGGTCGCTGGTCGCGCTAGCGCCGTGTTCCGCGGTCACTGAGTGTGCTGCGGATGGGCGTCGCGCGATCTCTGTAGGTGATGCGCGAGGGATGCACTGGGCACTGCCGAGGCATGCTGGGCATTGCTCAGGAACTCGCGCAGGGTCGTCGTGCATCAGGCGATGGGCTAGTGCGTGGGTCGTCACAGAAGGCATGCTTCGATCCCTCGCCGAGGGTGGCTTCGTTGGCTGCTTGTGGCGACTGTTTTTTGTGATGAATATATTTTTCGGGATGCAAAAAATAAATCTCATGATCTTTTTACCCTTACACCTACTCGAGTAGTCTTGGTGGTGTGAATAAACGGAACTTCCGAACCTAACAAATATGTGACTCTCAATTTTTCTCTCATTTTGGAGACTAAAAAGAATTCAAAAATCAAGTATGGTGGAGGTGTGGGACTTGGTGTATGATTTAATCTTTTAGTGTGAACAGCTAGAAGCTGGCTAAAAACTTGCTCGATGATTCCAACTTTGAACAGCTTGCCGCTAGGTTAGGTGAGGTCGTAGGATTAGCCAATTTTAACACCTACAAAAAAAAGCGCGTAAAAAGAAGATTGGACCATTTGTTTGGTTCATCCATGACAAAAGGATATTGCAGTAGGTGAACTCCAAGCTCATTGAGGCGAGGTACGGGTTTTCTTCAGTGAACTCGTATCTATGGAGTTTTCAGCATCCATGTGATCAGTTAGTGTATTGGGATTGTAGCCTGTGATTTGCATTTGTCCCCCAAAAGTTAAATCACGTTTTAGGATAGGTTTAGACTTATTTGCTATGTCAAGGCTTTGTGCTTCCTGTTTTTATTTTATTTTTGTATTAATATTAACTTGGTTGGCAAAAAGAAATGTATACCTTGCTCAAACCAAATGAAATTACAACAATTCTCTGTTCAAAATGCAATTACAACCACATTCTACACACTAAAAATCGACCTCAATCTGCAACACAATTTGCACTCTCATATTGCATCTTCTATTGTAATATTCTCATCATCCTAAATATTGAACATAAAGGGTACTTTCATAACCATGAGTATCATAGCAGGGCAATATCACATTTGAGAAGATCATTCAGTACACGACTCAACTTGTTTCTTTTGTCCAATTGCACCAATTTCCGAAATATCGAAAAACTGTTGTAAAATTTTGCAACAACCTTCAGAGTTCAGACTACTGTTAGACAAAAGTTTAAAACTTAACCACAACGTCAACACTACAAAGCTACAACCAATGAATTTTGTATTATCAAGATGGATGCGTACTGAATTTTCCATTAAAGAAAAGAAAAAAAAAAGATAGATAAAAAGCTAAGACTCTTGTTGCTGCTGTTCGCCCATAACTTCTTCTTTGCTCTCAGAAGCTGCATCAGGGTTTTTTTGCACTTAATTTTAAACGAATTTGTCTTCCCAACAATTCCTGCATTAAAAATATTATCACATCTTAATGACGAACACGTAAAAAGTTAATGTTTTAAAAAGCTCAATGTTCTCATACAAGCATCAATTGGGTTTAATTTCGAAAGTAATCCCAATATCCATTAAGAATTTTGATAGCAGTTTCAATCCTGTAAGAGCAGCAACTTTGGCTCAAAATTCTAGTTCAATGCAATGGTGGTCCTATAAGTTGCAATCTGATGCAATTTGATCTCAGAGATTCAATAATTTGCGAAACGCCACCATAAGTACCGAAATACTTATAATGTTTCCAGAAGTTACATAATGTATAACCAAACTTATTACTTTGAATTCAGGAAAAAAAACGCTAAGGACCAAAATTGCCCGATCAAGAAAATAAAAGGTCCAAATAACTAGTACTACTAAACTAACCCATAATGTTGACTAAAGATTGCAAATTAGCCAATTACTAATAATTAACAGGCATTCCTCACCACTCATCTATATTCAAGTACAAAATGAAGCCACGACACACGCAAAATCACAAGATACAGCCACAAATTTACTATGGATGGCTATGCTATAGAAGCTACCATAATTTAAAATCTTAAACCATTAATTAACTAACAGAAAATATTATCAAGAATAACTACAAAGTAGTTGAAGTTATTCAGGAAGTATACAAAAGCCTGTAATCAGAAATTTGAAAAGTTAGTAGTAGCCAGCTACCTTCCCATCTAGTAAAGAAACTGCAGATTCCGCTTCCTCTTTTGTTGCAAAAGACACGAACGCGTATACAACTGATTTTCCAGAACGACTGCCAAACACGATTCTAACCGAAACAGGATTGAAGTTGGGAGTGAAGATATCACGAAGATTTCCAGGCCTCACTTTCCATGCAAGATTGATAACATAAAGCTTATAGCGAGTTTCTCTTGGTGGATTACGAATAGGTTTGTTGAACTGCCTGGAAAACTCTACTCTGATAATCAGACCAACCAATTCCTGCCCAAACGATTTACCGAAAACTAACTTCTTCACCACTAAATTTCAATATTCATGCTTAACTAGCCTTTAATTTCTCAAATGTATTGCAGAGTGAAAGGAATTTTAGAACCTATTTATCAGTATCCACAAATTAACATCACCATATTAGGAAACAAAACATCTTGAACAAGCCAAGAATTTTGAATCTTGAATTAATTTAAAAGAAAGGGGGAATAAAAAAGGGCTTACAAATGTGTTGTATTTCTCTATTGCAGCCTGAGCTTTTTCCCTAGAAGCCATTGTCACAAATACATAGCCTCTGTTCCTCCCATCTTTATTCTTTATAATCTGAAATTCCAAGAGTAATTTAAGTAAAAATAAAAAATAAAAATAAAAATAAAATTAACATCTCCACTCTGGACACCTCAACGGCCTCAACAGAGCCATTCACCAAAAAGCTTCTTTATATCAGCAAGAGTGTACGACCAGGGCAAGTTGAGCACAAAAAGCTTTTTTTTGCTGTCGTCTTTTGTGGGTTCTTCCAATTCTTCCTCCACGGTTACGCTTTCCACGGCGGCGTGCAATCGGTTGGCATTTTTGCCGGTGGACCGTAAAGATGAAAGAGGAGGATGGCCGCGAAGAGTGAGTTTCAGTGAAAAAGGAGGGGCGTAACTGGAAATGCGAAAACCAACTGAAGAAGATAAAGGTCTGTTGGAGGAATGGGGTTTAGGATAAGATGAAATTGAAGAAGATAAAGGTCTGTTGGAGGAATGGACCAATCCTATTGTCATAATTTGACATGATTTTGGGTGGAAAATTTTTTTGTTTATATTTAATATTTAATTAGTATTTATTTATTAGTAATTTTAAATATAATTAATTTTTATACATTCAATGACTATTACTCATTAATTACAAATTGGATTAAATTGAAATTTTGACCGTATATTTATTAGATATATTTTCAATAAGATCTTATATTAATTTAATAGTAATTTATTGACACAATTCAAAAACTTATTATGGAAATTGATTTGATTAAATATATTATCATCAATGGTTGTAGGTATTAATTTAATTAATCATATTCACTATTCAGAAGTACTTAAAGTATTTAATAAAGTAATAAGAATAACTATATTTAAATCATACTAACTTAATAAATAATTTAAAATATTAATAAAAGTTTCTGAGATGTAGTCAATTTAACTATAAAAGGTACATCCCCATTGAATACATCATATGCAGTGATAATACTATTAAAAATTTAAATAATATACTATTAAAAATAAAATTTGATGGTCGGGTGCAATTCATAATTATAAATTTCACCTTAGAAGTATCTATGTACATTAAAAAACTATTCAATTTTTAAAAATATATATTTTTTCTTATATACTATTTTATAATATATCTAAATATTCGAATAGATACTATGCAACTCATTATATAGGTTGAAAAAAAAAATTAAAGAAATAAATATAAATAAAAATAAAAGTAAAAGCATACAAATAAAATATTTAACCATTAAAAATTTGTGGGTTTTGCATAAGAACTAAAGTTACTAAAAATTAAAATTTATCTATCAATTTTTTTAACATTTAATGCACTTAATAATTATAGCGGAAGATAAATATTATGGGTTAAACGCTGATCAATTATCAAGCAATGTGCAAATTATGAATTGTTGAAAATTTATAAGACTGTGATAAACGACAATTTTATAAGTACATACAAGTAATTTGTATGCAAATATCATATAATCTTATACATTTATAATATTTTATAAATTTATAAGTAATAAAAATTTATATATTAAATAGTAAAAAATACAAAAAAAAATATACATATAAAAATATAAATTAACAATAATAGTAAATAAATAAATGTCATATTATCACTGAATAGAATCCATTGATGAGAATATAATTTCATAATGTCTTAAATATTTTTATAATATTTAAATAAAAAATATTATTTGTAATGTACCACATGCATTGCACGGGTATCACATTAGTGCTTTAAAGAATATTGAGAATTTTGGAGGCTTCGAAAAGTTTACTTGAATCCAATTTAAGACTTTTAAAAGTTTTTTATAAGTCTCTAAAAGTCTCAAGATATTCGATTAAAGCTTTTTGAGAGTCTGTAAGTAGTATTTAGAAAGACTTTATATTAAAACTTTCTGAAAGTCTCTTTAAGTGGTATTCAAAGATGATAGATGGCTCGAGCAATCTAATGGCTCCATAGAATTTCTGAGACTTTATATTAAAAAAAATTTAGAGTCTTTGTAAGTCACATGTTATTCAAAGTATGAAGAAGACTTTATGAGACTTTTTAAATAGTAAGACTTTTAGAAACTTTTGTAACAAAATTACAAAGACAAAGTACAGAAATATCGATGAGATTTGCTGGACTTATATGACTCTATTCACACTTTTTTTTTCTCTTTATATTGGTAATGTACACGTTTTTTTATCTCATATCATTTTCATACTTTGTCATTTTACTCATTTATTTTGATAGCTTGCATAATTTTATTTTCATCATGAATATTTAATGTTATTTTTATTTGTTATGGTTATTATTTTATGTGTATACTTTTATTCTCCAATTTTGCTTCCTTGTGAATTTGACTTTTCAAACTTTAAATGCTTGTATAGTTTGCACATGCCAAAAATCTATTTGTTATCTCTTTTTTATTTGTAAATTTCTATTTTTTATAATTAAAATATTCATTTTATTTGGCAAGAATTTATTTGTTTATATAATATTATTATGAGTATTATTGATAACTTTAGAAGATAAAATTAATGTCTTTTGATAATGTTTGTGTCTTGTATAAAAATATCCTAATAATATTTTTCTAATATTGCAACATGATATAATTCGATAAATATATCTTGATTGAGTTGATTATAAGTGTCATTGTAGCAGAGATGGGTAACACATATCTTATGCTCGTTTAGCAAACAAACATAAGGTCATGCTCGAGTTCGACTCGCTAAAGCTCGTGAAAGCTCAGATCGGCTTGCTCGTTTAATAAACTTAAAACCCTAAACAATTTTTCCGTGAATAGCTTAGTTCGAATAACAATTCTACATTTGATTCATAATTTTTTGATGATTAATCTACAATTTTTTTTTTTTTTTATTCTTGTTGAATTGCTAATGTTTACTACCATTTTAACTCATTTCGGTTTAATATTTTTTTAAGAGAAAAAGCTTGTTTGACTTTATTGATATTAGTTGTTATGCAACGTTCATGAATATTTCATGCAATTATGCGACATATTTTCGCATAGTTTATGACACGCATATACAAATTTATAATGTTGGATAAGTAATGATTATGCGTATTTATATCGCATAATCACGTAAATTATACGAGATGTGGATTGTTTTGTAAGAAATCTTATGGGTCGTCGCCTCATTTTTCCAGTCTGCATTTTTTTTTTTTATTCTTCTTGTTGAACTTATTTGGCTCTTATTTTTCTATTTCAAATATTAAACTTCAATGGTTAGCAAATGTATTCTGAAGTGGTTTCTCATGTTCAAGTATTACTATGGCTCATTTCCTCGGGCTGTGATGATCAAACTGCGGAGGTGACGTTCATGTAAACAAACAGGTCATGATTCATAATATCTACCAATGCCACACTTGAACACTATTCAACAAAAGAAAATGTGATAAATATCAAACAAAAGTTTCATCTTCCTCCTCCTTCAATCGACACAAACGATTTACACTTCAAAAAGTATAAATGGTCTAATGTAGTAGATGCAAAATAATACCAATAATCAAAACAATTGTTCAGTAGATACTAGAAGAGTAGAAATAAGGTCACTGCTCATTATGTGCCTGACCGATCAATCATTACACATCTATTTATAAAATTGAGATAAGTCTGCAAGTAAAAAGATACATCTTCCTCCTCCTTCAATCGTCGCAAATCTCATGATAAAATAAAAAATAAGTCTACAAGTAAAAAGATACATCTTTCTCCTCCTTCAATCGTCGCAAATCTCTTGATACAATGGTGATGAAAAGATCCCAAAAGATGCCAAGGACAAGAAATCACATGCGTAGGACATGAGAGTCGCATTGAGCCAATGGGACATTTGTTGCTCGACATAGGGTGGAGCCTATGGGCAGCTACAAGTCGCGAAGGGTGGGTTGACTGTCCTCCTAAGATGAATTGAGCATATAACTTCGTTACAACGAGCTTAATCCAATTGTTGACTGACCTCCTGAGATGGCTTTGGTGTATAACTCTTTATGCCGGTAAGTATCTTCGGTCATCCCATTTGTAAGAGACGATTGGGACAAACTCTCTCTGAAAGAGCACATTGTTTTGTATTGTGAACCCTAGAAAAAAAATGAAGGAAGAATGACGAAGGAAATTGTAAGATCTAGCAAATTGTAACTCTTATTTATAGTAAATAATAGGGCCCTAGAAAATTGTAACTCTTATTAATGCGTATCCTTGAGAAGATATTCTCCTTGGTATAAGCGCCGTTATTATTAATACGGAGAAGAGTCGAATAGATGGAACATTTATCCGCAGATCTGCGAATATATGCGATAAATACCATTGTGTCCGCATACCAGAATGTCAAAAATAAATAAAGAATAAACAAATTCTGCGAACAATATGTGACTCATAACGAAATGAGCAATGTGCGATATATCGCATAATATTTACTTGTATATGTCAATTCAGTTATCGATATTTATATTAAAATTTAGTTATTTCAGTTTGATTTTAGTTTATTTATAAAATAATTGAAATAACTTAACCGACTGAATTATATAAAAAATATTTTTTTTATAATTTTATGTATAATATTTTTTTTTCAACAAAAAAATAATTATAATATTAAATACATTAAAATACTAAATACCTTTTTATATTAGAAATAATAATTTATTCGGTTAATTTGGTTAGCCGATCGAATAAATTAATTCTTTTGGTTCCATTTAAGTTAGATTTGAGATAAAAGTTCGATTGATTCTGTTTTTCTAAAAGTTCGACTTGATTATTTTAATTTTGACATTTCGGTCTGTCGGTTCAACCAAAATGACCGTTGAATAGTCCCAATTACACCCATTAGATCATCTCCAATGTGGCTTTTGACATTATAAAAATTCATTCATATCATCAACTTTTGAAGGTGTGTTACTAATTTATTCTCCAATGCATCTTGTCATGAGCTCTTTCATGATGAGGTGGATAGCATTTAATGTTGACAATGTTGAACACACTTTCTAATATCTAACACCATGTTAAACATGATGACTAATCAGTTGACTTTATATTTGATTTAATTTTTTATTATTCTTGTATTAATGATTATTTTAATCGGCCCACATATACAAATAACTTATTATCAAATTGATGCATTGGAGATACTAATTTGATTCAAATTTCTACTCTTTTACCATTATTCCTACATGAATTCACATTACAATTATTGATTGACATGTGTCAAAAATAATTATCTTTCAAAAGTATAACATTAGAGATGCTCTTAGTTATCCACAATAAAGTATTAAATGACTATCGTCATATTGGTCATGCAACATTTGTTACATGTAAAAAATGTCCACCCGATATTTGTCTAAAATCATGAATTATATAATTTCTATTTATGAGATTGATAATGTGTTGGCTATAACTTATGGTGAGTAAATAACATTTATCAGAAAATGTTGAAACAAAGTGGGCAAAGGAGACTCAGACTCATGCCAACCTCCCAATTATATAATCACTCCATAAATTGGAAAATCATTTTAGCATATTATCTTNTTAACTAAATAATTAATTAAAAACAAAATAGAAAAAATAAAAAGAAAAGGAAGGGTCAACGAGAATTGTGACCCCACGGACAAAACCCAACCCCTCCACCAAGAAACCACATTTAATTAATAAATAAAAAATAAAATGGAAAAAGAAAAAATAATTCGAGGGACGACGGTCTTGACCTAACTCATGATTCCAACACCTGTCTTTTTGATCAGCCAATCTATGCTCGACACGCGTCCTTGTAGGACGACACCGTTTGTGACCTGTTCAAAGGCGGCGACCAAGAGAGCCACTGATTGGTACTTACCTAAACCAGTCAAAACATGCCTCACGAAGCTACTTCACATATAACAACCAAAGTAATCATCCACTTCCAAGGGGTTTTGTTTATGTTTAATTTTCGATGCATTTTTGCCCAATAAATTATTATTTTGTTGTGATGGAGTGAGTAAAATCTATATTTAAAGGAAAATTCTAACATCTCCTTAAGTAACAATGTACTTCAAATGCTTGTGTCCTGTCGAACTACTGAATTATTTTAACAAAAATGTGAAGGTCATTTATATTTTTCAAATAATGCTATTTCAGTTTAAAATCATATATGTGCTCAAAATAAAAATTAATCTAACAACTTTTTGATCTCCACCCAAAAGGAAGTAGCAAATAAGGACTCGGATAGCACTCACAAGAAGCAAAAAAAACAAAACAAAAAAACTATATTGTATACAAATGTTTACTTGACTTTTTTCATAAAAATAAGCTTAGAACTTTTTTATTTATTTTCCAAAACTACCCTTCTTTCACATTCACCCTTTGTTTTTCAACACACACTATTCACATCCACTAGAAAGTAGAATCTGCTTCTATGTACATCAAAAGCCAACTTTTAGATAGTCCCATATTTGCCTCTCCTTTTTTTCTACAAAGGATGTGATTGGGGAACCTTAATTACTAAATTACCCTTTTACCCTTCCACTACATCTCCATCTCGAGGCACCCCGTCGGAGCTCTATGAGGAATCCCCTTCCTCCGCTTCACCGTCCGGTAGCTGACGGCCGTCGGAGGCGGCGTCGACGGCGTGAAGCTCGGCCGCCGCCCATCGGAGCTGCTGCAGCTGCTGCTGCTCGTCGACTCGCCGGAATCCGCCGCCCTTTTCTTCTCCGGCGACTGTGTCCTCCGGCCGAAGCTCTTGGAAGTCCCAACAATCTATACAATCAATCAAGATCGAGTCAAACACCCTATTTAATTTCTTCAACTAAATGCAGATAAAAATAAATAAAAAAGAAAATTGGGGGAAATTAGAAGTACCTTACAGCCGAGTGAACAGAATCGAAAAGAGTCGAGTAGGCTGCGGTCACAGACTTCGCACGTGTTGGTGACGCCCTTTCCAGGCCTCGGCTGAGGACGCTCGTTGAGGAAGACAACCTTTGCACTGTTGATGATGTACGTCTGGACACAGCTGATATCAAGATACTTTTGAATTTCCGAAACTCTTATCACGTCGTGGTAAGATGACCTCCTTATCTAAATTCATCCAAACACAATTGAAATTTCGCAATCTGGCGTCCCAACAAAAAAAAGAAAAAAAAAATTAAATAAATGAACAAAACAAACCTGAATTGCACGATGATCCTTGTGATGGGCCAAGCAGAGAGAACAGAGTGGGCCGTTAGTACAGTCCAAACAGTACATATTGCATTCGCTTTTGTGAGAGTCGGTGTGGTATTTGCAGTTGACGAAGAATTGTTCCCTGAGAAGGGGCTTCAGCCACGGCGGCCACCGGTGGCTGTCCTCCTCGTCAGGTCCTCCGGCTCCCTACTCAAAAACCAAAAGATTATACAAATTGAGAATTTAGCAAGTTCATTTGATAAAAAAAAAATGATGAAAATCGTCTAAGAATTAGCTAAATTTACCATTATCCTTCTGTTCTTGGGTTTGATTTCGCGAACGCCGGATTCTTGATTGTCAATCGCCATTGATAAATTATCGAATGTTTATTTTTTGGTGTGTTTGAGAAATTGTGAGTGGGCAAAGCACAAATGGGGAAGAAAAGGAAAGAAGAGCAAGTGGAGGCGGTGAGAGGGAGAGAAGAAAATGGGGTTACTTACTTGTAGGTGGCGGGGTTTTGTTCTTATCCTTTTAAAAGTCATACATGTACGAAAGCTCCGAGCCTAGCTCCGAGCCTGAACCTGAAGATACGTTGGGCGCAAGGAACCGACCTCCTTCTTTCCTCGCCTTTCTTTTTTTCCTTTTTGCTGTTTTTTTTTATTTATTTATAATAGTTTCTTTCTTTGCCTTTCATTTTCATGTGTTACATATTCTTGGCTTTGGTCTTATCGCACTATGCCCACAACCTATATTATTTTCGTAATATTGTGTGATGACTAAGAATGAAATTTTATTTTACTTTATATTTTATTTTATGGTTGATATGACATGATTACTATTATAATAATCGGATTTGAGTGATGACATTACCGTTAACTGACTATTTAATTTCCCCATTGTGAAATTATTGAAATGGGAATTTTTGTTAGGAAAAAAGAGTTGGCGCATTATTCTGTTTCCGTTAATTATTGGCTCTCGTTTTTTGTGTGTGCGTGGGAACAACAGTGTCCGTCCGTTTTATTAATATTTATATTTATTTATTCGTAATTTTTTTCTAGGAGCCGCTTTATTATGATTTATTTATTCGTAAATTTTTGTATGAGTCCGATTAATATTAAGTGGGCCAATTGTCAAACATTTCAACAAACTATGCTATAAAAATGTCATGTTTTTGTTTATATTTTTTGTTTACATTGTTATTAAGTATAATATATAAATTTGAAAATATGCATAAATTGTTACAAACTGAGTGTCGAGGTACAACGGAAAACCTACGAACTGAATTAATATTTTCATACCTTACAATATAATCTAAAAGCTGGAAATGACAAATTGACAATAGAATTTAAAGCAGAAAGAGTATAGTCGAGACGAGAATATCTCTTTCCGCAAGACAAATGTGTTCCGTATAGTGTTGAGTGTCGATGGGTATGTGTGTCTTGTCCCCAAATATACAATAACAATCGTCTCGAAGGTTGTAGCACACTAGACTTTCGAGCACTGACGAACTAGAGCAGAGTCGAAAACTAAACATACTTGTGATATGATGCGTGAGGCTATCAGAACGTAAGATACATATGATGTAATGTTCGTGTGTCCTTCTACAGCTCTAAAAATGTCGTATATATAGGGCTTCCACTCACATTGTCAAGCATCCAATAATGGCATGTAACAACTAGCTAATGGCTGTTGTAATGGGCTCAAAATGATCAGGTCGTTTTCAGGCGTTAACACATCACTACTCCATTTGATAACATTTGAAACGGTCAGGTGAAGCCAACATGTCCAGATACATAGAACCTGGAGAGGTCTACACAGGTTGTGTCAAAACTCGAGTCCGAATCCAACTCAGTTTAGATTTTATTTTTTTGCCATAATTTTATAAATATATTTACAGCGAAAAGAATGTAGTGGTTAGACTCAAGGCCCAAGTCAACACTGGCATAGACCGTCCCAAGCGAACACCGGCTCAAACCGTCCCAAGTCCTGCACACAGTCTAATTGTAAGCACCAAGATCCAAGATCCAACGCCTGTGCCCTTTCTGGCCAGTCGGTGACGCACGCGTGTGTGGCCTAAGCCAAAACCAGTGTATAGCTTTGTTATTGTTGTGACATCTTTAACTCATTTTATTATAATAATAGAGTTATCCTCATGCATGAAATATGAACCTTGCCAATTCGAGTCACACTTTTAAGAAATAAACATATAATGAATATTTATTCGAAACGTAGAATTTTTCTATACAACTTAATTCAAACCAAATGAAATATTTAGCCATAAAAGAATAAGTAAAAAACGAATCGAACCCAATTTTATTTTACTGGTTTCTAACATAAATAGTTGTTCTCTTTGTGTTCGTGTCTGTGTAGCTGTTGTTGGTGTTTTTGGTTTGGGCCGTTTGGCCTCTGTGAACTCGAGTGTCACCTTATTATCCCAATGGGATCCGACACTCGGGTATTACTCTGTTGGGGTCCTTTTAGTTGTTGTTAGTTGTTTAGTCATTTTAGTTGGTTAGTTTTAGTTGCGAGTTTTATTCTAGCGTTGCTAGCCGGGACTCTAGGCGGTCTTCTGACCTGTCCTCCCACTTTTTTAGTTGTTGACTGTTGTTTATTCAGTCGTTGGCTGCTGTGTATTCGCACATTTGTGCATTTTGATTTATAATATCATCTATCGTTTTGGGAAAAAAAATAAAATAAAACATAAATAGTATGGTTTGACAAACATTAAAATTTCCTAACATCAATTTTGATGTTTGTTTATGTATTTATCGCTTGAACCTCTCTTTACATCTTGATTCATCCTAAGGTAATCCGTAGGAAATTTAATATTTTGTTAATGTTGTATTATGGGTGTATTAATATTTTAATTGTAATATAATTTAGCTTTACAGATTGAATTTTAGGTTCTGCGCCTTAGAACTTAAATGAACGGATATTAATGAAATTTTTAAGTCAAACGGGGTTTTAATAAGGGACAGGTGTGAAGACTTTTTTTTTACTCTCATAATACGAAGTTCATATTTAAGGGATTTTTTTTTGTCCATAAAGTTACAGTTAAATACTCATACTAATTCAATAGATATATACAATTATGAATTAAAATGTCATATTTTGATAAATAGTATCATATGAGATATCATACCAGCATAGTCACGTCGAGTACGACCTACGAACGGTTCGACCGGATTGAGTGAACTAACATATTGGTTAGACAGTAAAGACGTAAGAGGTCGTGGAAAGACTAGATCGACAGTGACTTAAGAGGCAAAGTAGCACGAAAACAGGTCGAGTTAGACTCTCGGCTAACCTGATGGAAACTTGGCCTAGAGGTTTATAGGTCGATGTACGACCTAATAAATAAACTTACTCGTTGAAGGTTAGAGAGACTTAGCTTGCGTGTTGTATGTGTGTGGGAACAACAACGCCCGTCCATTTTATTATGATTTATTTATTCGTAAATTTTTGTATGAGTCCGATTAATTGTTAAGTGGGTCAATCGTCAAACTTCTCAACAAACTTATGCTATAAAAATGTCACGTTTTTGTTTACATTGTTTTATGTATAATATATAAGTTTGTAAATATGCATAAATTGTTACAAACTGAGTGTCGAGTTACAAACGGAAAACCAACGAACTGAATTGGTATTTTAAGTCCTTACGATATAATCTAGAAACTGAAAATTATAATAGAACTTAAAACGGAAAGAGTATAGCAGAGACGAGAATATCTATTTCCGCAAGACAAATGTGTCTCGTATAGTGTGGACGGGTATGTGCGTCTTGTCTCTAAATATACAATGACAATCGTCTCGAATACTGTAGCATACAAGATTTTCGAGCACCGGCGAACTAAAGCAGAGTCGAGAACTGACAACACTTGTAATATGATTCATGAGGTTGTCAGAGAGTAATGTGGAGATGGTGTAATGTTCGTGTTCTTCTGCTGCTTTAGACAGGTCGTATATATAGGGCTTCCACTCACATTGTCAAGCATCCAGTAATGGCCTGTAACAGCTAGATAATTGCTATTGTAATGGGCTCAAAACAATCAGGTTGTTTTAGGAGTTAACACACCACTACTCCACTTGATAACTTCTGAAATGGTCAGGTAGAGTCAACATGTCCAGATACATTGTACTTGGAGAGGTCCATACTGATTGGGTCAAACTCGAGTTCAAATCCAACACAGTTGAATTTTATTTTTGAGCCACATTTTTACAAATAAATTTATAGTGAAAAAGATTATAGAGGTTGGACTCAAGGCCCAAGCCAACACCAGCCCAGACGTCTCAAGCCGCCCAAGTCCAGTCCATAGTCCCAAGTACCAAAGTATAAGATCCAACGCTCGTGCCCGAGCCGGCCAAACGGCGACGCGCGTGTCAGTGGCCGAAGCCAAAACCAACACTTGATGTATAACTTTGTTCCTGTTGTGACATCTCTAACTCGCTTTATTATCCTCATGTATAGGATAGGAATCTTGACCATTCGAATCCCATTTTTTTCCAAAACAATAGAGATATTATATAACTAAAAACCGCACAAAGTACGAAGAAAAAGCAACCAAAACCTGAAAGTACAACTAAAGACTGAAAAGACTGAGAGGATAGATCCGAAGATTACCTAGAGCCTAACCTAGCAACGCTAGAAAGCAAACTCGCAACAACACAAACAAAAACTAAAAAACTACTAACTATGATCCCAAAAGGATAATGCCCGAGTGTATGATCCCAACAGGATAATAAGTTCACACTCGGGTGTACAGGGGTCAACGACCCAAACCAAAAACACAAGACCTAAATAAAACAAACCAAACAAAGAACACACAATCTAATCTAAGAACATATACTACTAAATGAAATCAAAGCCCTTCCCACAGCAGAATAACCGATCCCAACACATGGCACAAGTAGAATCGCAGCCAATCACTTTGGAGAATGAATCGCGGCCCAAGAATCTGCTCCGAAGACTGCGAAACACCTAGCTAAAGCCGAATCCCGAGACCTCAACCACATCAAGAGGAGAAGCCAACCCCCAACCGGAGAATTGCCGACCAGCCCCTCCACCCACCAGCACCCCGAAATCCGGCCAACACCACTGGCCTAGATCCGTAGGCGCTGGCCATCCCGCAGCCACAACACCAGTGAAGCAGGAACACAAGGGGCCCAACCCGACTCATCTCGGCCCTGGCCTCAAACAAGGCGAGCAACCAAGGCAGCACCCTACACCCCGACCCCACACCGCTATCCAGCTACTCGAAGCGACGGGGAAAACCGTCAGCTGCGTCACTGGTGTTGAATTTTTCTATACTATTTAATTCAAACCAAATTAAATATTTAATCATAAAATAATCAGTGAAAATCAAATCAACCCTAATTTTATTTAATTTGTTTTCTAACAGAAATAGTATGGTTTGACAAACGTTAAAATTTCCTACCTTCAATTTTAACGTTTATTTATTTATTACTTGAGCCTCTTTTTACAACTTGATTCATCCTAAGGGAATACATAGGATATTTAATATTTTGTTAATCTTGTATTATGGTTGTCTTAATATTTTAGTTGCAATATAATTTAGCTTTACAGATAGAATAGGTTCTGAATGTGTCTTAGCCTCTTAGAGCATCCACAATGCTTTGGGTTCAATCCCAAAAAATTATATGACACCTAAGAAATAGACCGAGTCTAAACAAATATATTTTCCAATGCAAATAAAAGTAGACTGGGTCCTGCAGATGTGGCAACAGAAAAAGTGACCTAGTCTATTTGCATTGGAATAGATTTTGTTAATTTTACATAGTTTTATCCATGTCATTCAAAACTTGAGTTTATTATATGCCATATAGGCAAGACTAGACCCAATGCATTGTACAAAGATAATCAGCAACAACACTCTTTAGAAAGATAATCAAGACATCTCCATTTGGCATTCCTGACTCGGGCACCATCTTTAGACATAGTGAAAAAGGCTTTGAGTAGTTGTAATCCCTTTTTCATGTCAATGGAAATCAAGAACTTTGTGCTTATTGCTTATAAAGAAAATCTCAAAAACTACCTTTCTATGAATCAGTGTCTAATTGTTGTGATTTTCTTGAACTCATACATTCAGATCTTTGGGGACTTGCCCCCATCAAATCCTCTAATGGCTACTTACTTTGTTAACTTCATAGATCACAAATCTAAGCAAAATGCCTTAACCACTTTCTTTCTTGAACATGGGATAAACCATAGAATGTCTTGCCCCTATACACACCTGAGCAAAATGCTTTAGCCGAAAGAAAACATAGGCACATTGTTGAAACCGATTTATCTCTTCTTTCCCAGAGCCACTTACCTCAAATACACTAGGATGATATTTATACCACATCTTGTTACCTCATAAATAGAATGCCTGCAAAAGTCCTTAATTATAAATCACCATTGGAACTCCTAACTAGAAATAAACCTAACTATTACGATCTTAAAATATTTGGTTGTTCGTGTTTTTCTTACCCCAGACCTTACAACAAAAACAAGTTAGAATTTAGGAGTCAGCCTTCCACCTTCATTGGTTATAATAACAATACTGTTACCAAATAATAAGGTCATAGTTGTTGGGATCTGTGAGGATCTCGTTATGTACAAGTCACGAATTCAATAGCAAACGTAAACCTATACGCAGCGGATCTAAAGGTTTGACGTAGAGAACTTACTGCTTAAAATTTATGTAGATCTGGTTGATCACGAATAGTTGACTGCAATTGATTGACCGCAACTCACGTCTTGGGTTGCACGAACAAGATCAGATCAAAATCGGATCAAACGGATTCAAACAGATCAAAACGAAACTTGCAGCCTGGGAGCTTCCAGCGGCGCGTGAGGCGTCGGACGGCTGCGATCTCAGTGGCGATGGAAAGCTCTCGTCGAGACGGTCGTCTGGGTATGATGTACGTCTCAATCGAACTTCCGGTTAGTTCTTTAGGTCAAAATATATTTCGTCTCAGTTTACCTACAGATCTTCTACTGTATTACTCAATACACCATACTTCAACTTGTACCAGTGGAGCAACAAGAAGAAGATAAAACTCGAATGAGATCTAGAGAGAGAGAGAGAGGCGTGGGAGGAGTTATTCGCATGTGATTAGGAATTCTCTTCCCTTCTCATGAGCTTAATGATGTATATATAGAGCTACAGTAGGGACCCTTAGGAGATTAGGAAAAGGGCTCATTAATTAATTAGACTAACTGTGGGTCAAGCCCACTCCTCTAATTAATTAAATAATATTAATGGGCCACCAACATTATATTATTGCACTCCTTTTTCCTAGCCAAATTACATTTGAGACTCCAATAAACTCGATTTACCTCGCCACGTTTAAGATATAATGTCTATTAATTAATTTAATTATTGACAATCAAGAATTAATTAATTTATTATTATTTCACCGAAGCTAGCGCTCGTCCATCACATTCTTATTATGCCGGAACTTAATCCACCTGCAGGGTTTAGCATAACAATCCTTCATGAACTCACTCTGGGGACATCATCAAACTAACGCACATGGTGACCATAAATATCCTAACAGCACATCCTATATATAATAATATTACCCAAAACAGTAGGAATATTAATCCAGCGAACTGACCTCACCCATGTGAATCAAAGTAATATACATTAACTTAAATCCACCGACATCTATTACACCTTGTGAGAATGCATGTTACGAGGGTCACCCTACAAACTCGCATTTTGTAAGAGAAGGGCTTTTCTAAGGCCCATTAATTTTCATAAGTCAAAACAAAATTCATGACGAACGAAATTAAAAGTCGGTCTCCATTTGGCCATGCAATAGAATTCAGGGACCCCGAGCGGGTTAATAAATTTAATCTCATTCTAAGTGAATCCCATTTTTCGGTCCTATGGTCGTCAAATTTGATTATACGTCATTTG